TTTAGTGCGCGGAGTATCTGGGGAGCTGGAAGATGAGAACTGGCGACCTTCTAGTACAACTTTAGTGCGCGGAGCAATCTGTGGACCTGGAAGCTGAGAACTGGCGACTTTGTAGTGCAACTTGAGTACGCGGAGTCTCTGTGGATCTGGAAGCTGAGAACTGGCGACTTTGTAGTATAACTTTAGTACGCGGAGTGTGTGGGGAGCTGGAAGCTGAGAACTGGCGAAGTTGTAGTATAACTTTAGTACGCGGAGTATGTGGGGAACTGGAAGATGAGAACTGGCGAAGTTGTAGTACAACTTTAGTACTACAAGTATCTGGGGAGCTGGCAGATGAGAACTGGCGACTTTGTAGTGCAACTTTAGTACGCGGAGCAATCTGTGGAGCTGGAAGCTGAGAACTGGCGACTTTGTAGTGCAACTTTAGTACGCGGAGTCTCTGGGGAGCTGGAAGATGAGAACTGGCGACTTTCTAGTACAACTTTAGTACGCGGAGTATCTGGGGAGCTGTAAGATGAGAACTGGCGACTTTGTAGTGCAACTGTAGTACGCGGAGCAATCTGTGGAGCTGGAAGCTGCGAACTGGCGACTTTGTAGTACAACTTGGGTACGCGGAGTATCTGGGGAGCTGGCAGATGAGAACTGGCGACTTTCTAGTACAACTTTAGTGCGCGGAGTATTTGGGGAGCTGTAAGATGAGAACTGGCGACTTTATAGTGCAACTCTAGTGCGCGGAGTCTCTGGGGAGCTGGGAGATGAGAACTGGCGACTTTGTAGTGCAACTGTAGTACGCGGAGCAATCTGTGGAGCTGGAAGCTGAGAACTGGCGACTTTGTAGTACAACTTTAGTACGCGGAGTATCTGGAGAGCTGGAAGATGAGAACTGGCGACTTTCTAGTACAACTTTAGTGCGCGGAGTATCTGGGGAGCTGGAAGATGAGAACTGGCGACTTTGTAGTGCAACTTTAGTACGCGGAGCAATCTGTGGAGCTGGAAGCTGAGAACTGGCGACTTTGTAGTGCAACTTTAGTACGCGGATGAGTCATCTCTCGCGGCTGCTCTGGCGCCCTGCAGCCGGCTCTCTTGAGAGGTTGACACACACACACAGAGACCCACGCACTGCCTCAACTTACTCGGACACACACAGACAGAGACTCATACACACACAGACATAGATACACACACACTGCCTCAACTCACTCGACTTAACACTTCACACTGAACACTTAACAGATAACTCACACTCTGACTTCCTACGTGATGAAAAATGCTTTCGGGCCACTCGTCGTCTAGTTGTTTTATCTATATAAATAATATAATATATATTATATATAAACTTTCATGTGACTGTATCTTCACTCTGATTGCTACACAAACACGCAATTGACACATACTTCTTCAATAAAAAGGGATTCTCCCTCCTTCCTGATGGGCAAATGCAGGGCAATTGAAAACTCGCAGGCACGAAAATGAAGCGACTTTGATGCGATCAGGAGCTCTAACAATTAGAAAGCAGCTCTTCAATTCGGAAGAAAAAACTATATTTAACACCATTGGGCCATTGGGTCATTTCACTGCCCTTTAAGTCCTTAAATTGTCCTTCAAGTTGCTTTCCTCTTCCTTTTCCTTGGAACTCTGTTTATTCCCCTTGACATATCGATGTTGCTTTTCAAGTCTTAAACTTTAAACCCTAAAACTTAACACCGCAACACGCAAAACAAAAAACCCTAGCACCACAACACGCCAAACAAAAGACCTAACACCACAACACGGCAAACTGACCAAAAACCTGAACACCACACCCTCCTGTACCCAAGTCCGTTCTTCCGATTTGGCCCCCTATCTTCACAGGCCGTCTTTCCCCAAGTCCGTTCTTCCATCTGCACCACCATTTTTCATAGCCCACCTTTCCCAAACCCATTCTTCAAACTTCACCTCCTATCTTCGCAGCCTGTCTGTCCCTCAATCTGTTGTCCCAACTTCACCTCCTATCTCTGGTACCAAACAAACATGATAATGGCTGCTTATCCCAGACTTCAAACTCTTCTTCACACCAAAGTTGCTGCTTGAACCTCTCTTCACAACAAAAATGCTGGACGCTTCGTCATCCCCAAGTTCTTGAACAATTCACCCAAAATCGATTTCTTGACAAAAACATCCGCACCCAAGTCTTTAGCATTCCACATCTCAAGGTGTGATGCTTGAACACTTCTTTATTCCCCAAACAGTGTGGACACACTTAGGGGTTCTTACGGTAAGGGAAAAGCAGCTGATGCTTAGATCGCTGAAGCGCGCGGGGTGACCAGCTATTCGCTGCTATATACAGTGCATTCATGTCTCTCGAATCCTCGAGGCGCATTTCGACTGCGCAGGCTCGCGAAATCTGCGTGGGCGCGGCGGGTGCTTCTAGCGACCGCGCTCTCGTTGTGGTGCAGTGCGCATTGTCGCACATGGTGGTCACTATTCGTGGCAGGTGCAAGGGAAACCTCGTGTTTTCGTGGTCCAAAGTCGACTTTTCGTGACAGGTGCAAGGGATCGGAGCTGTTTTACTTTGAAATGCAGCTTTCGTGACAGGCACAGTACTTTGGACATGGTGGTGATCTTCCACGAGTTGTGATTTTGTGACGGGTGCAGTGAATCGTAGCTTTTCGACATGTGGCTCGTTTGCAGATTTCGTGGCAGGTGCAGCACTTTTGTGAACCTCGAACAACAGATTTCGTGGCAGGCGCAGCACTTGGCGGCCTCGAAGATTTCGAGGCAGGCGCAGCCCTTGGTGAACCTCGAAGTGCAGATTTCGGGGCAGGTGCAGTACTTTGTAAACCTCCAAGTGCAGGCGCAGCACTTTGTGCTCTCAGATGCTCACTCTCTCGCTCTCTCACCCCCACCCTCACTCACTCACACACGCTCACACTCACACTCACTTTTCACTCACACTCACATTCACACTCGCTCACACCCACACTCCCTCACACTCTCACTCTCCCACTCTCACTCGCACTCCCTCGCGCTCACACTCGCACTCGCACTGACTCACACTCACACTCGCGCTCACTCACTCCACTCTCCACTCCCCACTCCCCTCACCCCACTCCACTCCACTCCACGCCACGCCACGCCAGGCCACGCCCCTCCACGCCACGCACGCACGCACGCACACACGCACGCACGCACTCACTCATGCACTCACTCACGCACTCACTCATGCACTCACCCATGCACTCACTCATGCACTCACTCATGCACTCACTCATGCACTCACTCATGTCACTCACTCATGTCACTCACTCTCACTCTCACTCTCACACTCACACTCACACTCTCTCTCATTCTCACACTCACTCTCACTCTCCCTCTCCCTCTCACTCTCCCTCTCGCTCTCGCTCTCACTCTCACTTTCCGTCTCCCTCTCACTCACTCACTCACTCACCACTACCGCCACCGTCACCACGATCCCCTCTCTGGAGCGCAATGCGTCTAGATCTCTAGACTTTCTGCTTATAGACCTCACACACACACACTGTTTGGGGTCGCTTGCCGGGATAATCCCAATGTTCTTTTTGACATTCTTCATCCCGACATCTTGCAAGTCTGAACCATCCGTCATCATCCTCATCGAACAGAGTTGTCAATAGTAGCGATCCGTCCGAAGTGCTGCATGTACTGGAAAACACAAGCTCATCTTCATTGGAAGGATTTGGGCATTGTTGGAACTACTGAGAAGCTGACCACTGGCACACTAGAGGCTGGTTGTAGACTTTGTGCAAGTGCAAGTGTGAGGGTTTGTCGCCTTTAATCCTTGATCAGGTCTCGAGCCTGTAGGGTTCAGCTATGTAGTTGGCTTTGCAGCTGCCAATTCCTGCCAATCCATGTATCATGGGAATATATAATATATATATATACAGTATATACTTTACCAAATTGGAAGCAGAAAAAATAGCTTTGAGTCTGCAGAGTTCTCAATATTTCCTGCCTTCCTTCCTTCATGAGTGAACTTTGAACCTAGCAAGGCCCCACCAGTGTGGGTACATGTCTGACACCTTGGCACTGACAAGTCCCAACAAAGACGCTTGTCGAGTCAGCTGCCTGTAATATCTGGAAAAGTCGTTTCCCAGACGTACCTGCTTTGATTTGGTTGTGGTGTTGCTACGCTGTTCCACTGGGTCCTTGGTTTGCTGCAGGCAATCTTTCCGGATGTTTGGACCCTGCTGCTTGCTTTAGCGACTGCTTTTCGGACCAGGAATCTCGAACGTGCGTCTTTCTGCTTGATTACGCTTGTTGCTCATGTATGGCTTTGTGCTGGCTTTGGTCGTGCTTGTGCCTTTACGGTGTCTGTCAGTGTCAAGTATGCTTTCCATGTACATGCACATAGGTTGCGTGGGTCGTCCAAACCACTTTTGGATGGTTCCATAATATCATATTAATATATATAACATCAACTTGAGGACATGGGATCTGCAATTTGATCATAAACGGCTGGGCAATCTATAGACCAGAGGCCTTGCGTAGAGCAAAAGCAGCTGAAATTCCAAGAAAATATCTAAAAGAGTGAACATTGATGATCAAATAAACGCAAAGGTCCCAAGCAATTTTTGATGTCCCGCACACGTCGCGTGACAGCTGGAGATTCTATGACCTTCATGCTGCAGCCTGCAGCCGACGTGCCAAGGCATGCTAAAGCCGATTTCCCAAACAAAGCTGGTAGGCCTCCATGAAAGCACGTAGAAGGCGTCAAATGGTTACGACGGAGATGTCACTGAGCGGGAGCCATACACTGGCCGCGCTGCAAGGCCTAGCCCATTTGGCCAACAGCCAAAGATCAAATCAATGACCGAATGATTTGGAAACAACCAACATTGCTGCTAGCGGTTGGAGGAGCTCGCAGAGACGTTTCTCCTTTGAGGGAGAAGCGTCAGCTGCTGACTGAGTGACAAGCACGGTGGCTCTGCGACAAAAAGCAATGTCTAAACTTAAGATTTGTTTGTCTCTATATGAAAACATATGAAACAATCCTTTCGAAGTGCATGTGTCTTCCTCCTAACAGCCAAGGTCGGACTCACCAAAGCTGCATGTCAGATGGAAGCAAAAAACAAAGCAAGCCAGCCTGCTGCGCACTACGATATGCATTCCCACTCTGTGCACGCAAGCAGCATGGCCTAAGCCGCAGAAAGAAAAAACGTCAACCAACACTCATTGCGAGCAGAAAGAAAAAGGCTGACTGGCATGTGATCTCTTGGTATTGTCTAGTTCTCACGGCATTCCTTAGTAGGTGAGTAGACCCACACCACATACCGTACCAACTCATTGGACTTCAGGCTTAGCGTGTCACTGTCCCCACCGCCAAGATAGCCACAAGCGGGAGAAGCGATGACCAAACAGAATGCCTGCAGGGCGCCGTGACAAGCGCAAGCACAACAAAAGGCCTTCGAAAAGCTTCAAGGCCTTGACACAACATCTACAGCGCTCAAAAAGAACTTCTGAAATGGCTGTTGCGCAAGGTGAACCTGGGCAATCAAAATCATGTCAAGCGCCAAAGCGCTCTTTGGTACAACACACCGGGCAGGCGACCAGGAAGGTTGGAAGGGCACAAACGCCAAGCAGGAACCATAGCTGTTCCTGCAACAAACTGCACACATACACAAAATGCCAGGGTCAGCAAGCTTTCATAGTGTTGCTGCAAATGTGCATCCCAATATCATATCTTTCAAATACACAACCTCATCTAGCCCGTCAACTTTGTGGTATCAAGCAGGCCACTCCAGCAACACCGCGGCGCCAGGCACCATACGGTCAGTTCTCGAAGGTAGCCTGGACAACTCGCACCATCCGGAGTTGGACACACTGGACACACCTAGCTACTAGTAGCTTCTTGTTACTAGTAGTAATGGCCTCCAACCTACTAGCGATGGCCTCCAACCTCATAGCTTCTAGCTACTAGGAGACCCTCCAAAATTGCTTTCTTGCTCGGTTCAAAGAAGCTCATCTATTGACGCCGGCGCTGCCACCGCCCCAGCCGCGCACATGTAGACATGGACCAACATAAATGTCAGTAAATATTGGCTCAAAATGTCCGACAGCTTGGCCTCCTGGAAACAGCAGATCACCCAACTTGAAAGGCCCTAATCAAATTTCTCTCTCACGCACAAGCTTCTTTCATTTTGAGTTGTTTGGAGCAAAGGCACAAACTGTTCCAAGTCATATGATAAACACGTAGTGGACCCACCGCTGTCCACAGCAACAGTTGGTGGTTTTGGGAAACGGACACTATGAGTTCAACACGGAGGCAAAAACATCCAACAAGGAGAGCAGGTCAAAACGTGGATGAACTGCTGATACGAGCCTAGTGATGCCAACACAGTGACAAACCGGAGTAAAGGGTTTAGAACGAGTTTGGCGCACCAAGTTACCAAACGCTGCCGTCAAATGGGAGACATGTCCAATGAACTTTCAAGAGCCAAGCAATCCACATGGTGGATAGAGTCGCCCAGATTGGGAGACAGGCTGAAGACAAATGCGCAACCACAAGCAAAGTGCAACGACAAACAGTGGGCAATCCAGAGGGAACATGCCCGGGTAGAACAGATTGAAGACATGTAAAGACCAACCGCAGCGTGCCAAACTAACGCACAATAAAGTAGAAACGGAAGGAGGGCAACAAGTCACTAGGGCACATCATCCAACACTAAAATTGCACACACTTAACAGGACATCGACACTGATAGAAAATCAAAACAAATTAAAAACACCAGCCGCCGCGATGCCACACTCATTGGTGCCAGTTTCAACCAGATTGGACCCACCCTGCGATGGGTGGACTTTTGTTTTGGAAAACTGACAAGGTCGTCTTCTGTTTGTCACACGTGCCAATATTGTCGTCGAGATGAAATATATCTTTGACCAAGTCTTGCGTAAACAACTGCATATCTACGTCTCTTTTATTAGCGCTTGTATGTTGATCCGTAGACAAGGCGGGGGTCAAAAACAATTACAGTTCCAGGAAGATTAAAAGAGTCCAAATTAGGAACCAACAGAGAACAACACCTAGCAATGTTGCAATAAACAAGGGACAAACAATTGTCGGACCGGATAACCCCACATGTTAACAACTTTACCAGATACAACCTCTGTGGCCAGAAGAAAAAGAAGAATAAAAATCAGAAGAGGAAAAAGCGCGGTGAGAAAAGAGGGGCAGAGCGGCGGCGACCCAGCAACGCCAGGGCGACGCCAGGGCGTACGTCCGACCCCCTCGAGAGCACCGAGTGCTGCGCCTGCCACGCAAAACCGCGCCGGCAGAGCGGCGGCGACCAGCAGAGGTCATTGTCGCCCACTTCGAAGCAACGTGCTTAGGAGGCGTTCTTGGATCGCACTCGTCCGGTACATGTCGATACCGACAGTCAAGGTGTCCCACTTGCAGCTGGCACCACGCGGCCTGTTGGCGCGGGGCTGGCAACAGCAGCCGCTCCGTCCGATCCTGACCCTCTTGGCAATGGTGATGACGACGGCCCCGGTTTGGAGCCACCTCAAGAGCCAACTTTTGAGCTCACCGAACTGCTGGCCCCGTAGACCCCAAGCCCCCAATCACCAACTAACTATAAAGCAGTCCCACCATCTTTGGCCGGCCGACCCGCATCCGTGCCATCGTTCAGTGAACCATGAAGAGAAAACCTCCACCGCCACAGAACTTGGCACCACAAGCAGCCGCAGCTGCGTCGTCGCCATTTGATGCAACGCGCAAAAGGAGGAGGTCTTGCCCTTCATAGGCCCCCATCCGGTAGTCTTCCCCCTCTATCTAGTAGCCCTTGGTCTCTGATCCCAGCTACAAGATACCAACCCGACAGATTGCCACACTTGTTTGGTCAACAACTTGCATACAATCAGTCATTGACACCTCCGACAGCAGGAGTCTTTGAAGTCGGCTTGGACTGGCATCACGTTCTCGATACCATGCTATCCCCCGTTCGAACTCCAACCACCGCCCTCAAGACCGGGTCAAACAAATGGAGGCAATCCCTGCCAATACGACTCAGCCCGCGCTGAGATCGATACTTTTCGCGATCAATGTAGGGCAGCAGGGTGTTCAATGGGAGGGGTTTCTATCTCGTCTACGAGAAGGAGGGAAGGCAGAATTGATCAGCCGACTCAGGATCCGAGCATTTATCGACGATCGCGCCGATGTTTGTAATGAGGTTCGACTTCGACACCCGTGAGGGATGCAAATCATCCCATTCGACCTTTTACCTCAGGCCAGTACTCCGGTCAGCCTCGAGGCCGACGTGGCACTTGAACCATTCCCCATGCTGGCCGCAGCTTTACGCGCAGGCCCTTTCGTTAGGATAGGGTAGGCATGTTCACGGGTGCTCATGAAGTTGAGCCAATCCATCAATACCCAGACTCTCAAATCAACCAACAAGACAAATTTGTTGTTCTCGTTCCGCTGCTCCACCGAGCGCGGTGGCCACGCTGCCAAAGGCGCGGGCCTGGGCAAAGACCCTTTCGTTCATTGAGAAAAATAGATGCAAGCACCTGTGGGAAGGATGGCGACCCATACAGCAATCACGCCACCCTCGGACAGGGCGACGCCAGGGCGTACATCCGAGCCCCTGGAGAGCGGCGACCCAGCGACGCCAGGGCGACGCCAGGGCGTACATCCGACCCCCTCAAAAACACCAAGCGCTGCGCCTGCCACGCAAATCGCGCTGGCAGAGCGGCGACCCAGCGACGCCAGGGCGACGCCACTGGAGAGCACCAAGCGCTGCGCCTGCCATGCAAATTGCACCGAGCGCAGCAACGCCAGGGCGACACCAGGGCGTACATCCCACCCCTTGGAGAGCACCAAGTGCTGCGCCTGCCAGGCAAATCGCTCCGCTGCCACGCACTGGCAGAGCGGCGGCGAGTGAGTGAGTTGAACGAGTGAGCGGAGTGAATGAGTGAATGAGACTTGAGTGAGTTGAGTGAGTCAGTTGCGCCAGTGAGTCGAGTGAGTGAGTTGAGTGCGTGAGTTGAATGAGTGAGTTGAGTGAGTGAGCGGAGTGAGTGAGTTGAGCGAGTGAGTTGCGTGAGTGAGTTGAGTGAGTGAGTGGAGTGAATGAGTTGAGTGAGTAAGTTGAGCGGAATGCGTTGAGTGGAATGAGTGAGTTGGATGAGTGAGTTGAGTGAGTGAGTTGATGTTGTTGGTGGACGTTGATTGGTGGATGTTGTTGGTGGATGTTGTTGGTGGATGTTGTTTGGTGGATCTTGTTGGTGGGACGTTGTTTGGTGGATCTTGTTGGCGGTTGTAGTTTGGTGGATGCTGTTGGTGGGAGGAAGGCAGGAGGGAGGAAGGAGGAGGAAGGAAAGAGGAGCGGATACAGCACTAAACACAAAAACCCCACACGTCAATGTGTGGAAAAGTCCCAACGAACACAAACAACAAACACAAAAACGTCATTCAGAACAGTCCCGGGTGCAGGGGCAGCGTCACCAAGGAGCAGATGAGAAGAACACCTTTAAAACACAGAAAGGCCTGTTGTGGGCCGCAGAACATTGAGACACTTGGGAGATATATCATATATTAGAGGAAAATTTGACCAAGGCCGCCGCGTACCACTGGCTTTGCTGCGTGCGTGGACGTGTGCCTGTATTTGGCTGCGTTTATCTGCTGCACTCTAGAAGCACAGATGACTCTGGTTTAATCATGCTTATTGTCAAAGCAAAAGTTTTCACAGCAAGACTTCTCAGGAAGTACTAGTCAATCTGTATTCGTGTAAAAACCAAAAAATCAAGAACATACTCAACGATTCGCTCGCGCGCCACAGTCCTGGCTCTGAGCTCCGGTCGCCCCCTAGTCTTCCGTTGGCTCCGGCCGCGCCCCATTTTCAACAATAGTAAAAGTAGGCAAACTAGTGCGCATTTTCCACAAAAATAGAAGAAAAGAAACCAGTACGTCCGGTCACCCATTTTCCTTTTGAATCGTACTTAATGTAAAAGCAAAAGCTTTCACAGCAAGACTTCTCAGGAAGTACTATTCAACCTGAATTGTTGTTAAAACAAAAAACAATCTTTCCACAACTAGTCCGATCTCTGGGCTAGTTACCATTTTGTTTTGATTTTTTCTTCTATTTACCTTATTTACCTTAAAAACTGGTTTATTTCTTTAAGTTATCTTACAAGCTGATCATTTCTTTTTATTAATATCGTTTTGATTTATTTCCTTTTTTACCTTAAAGCTGATTAGTTCCTTGTATTTTCCTTCAAAAACTGAATATGGTCTTTTTCCTTTAAAACATCGTTGATGCCTTTATTTTATCGTTGGAGCGTTATTATTTTCAGTTTGTTTCCTTTTAACATGATCATGTCCTGTAATTCCATGTTAATAATGATTTTCGGCGTATTTTTTAAAACATTACTATTTCCTTTTTTGTTCTTAAAAAGAGCAGGCTATCCCTTTCAAAGTGATTATTTCTTTTCACGTTTCTTTTTAAAGAATGATTATTTTCGGTCTGTTTCCTTTTACATATGATTATGTCCGTGCACTTTTATTGTCCAAAATCTGTCTAGTTACTAGTTATTGTTAAACATGATTATTTTTAAACATGATTATTTCCTTTTACACATGATTAATCCCTTTCATGTTCCCTTTAAAAATGTTTCATTTCCTTTACGAACGGAAGTGAGCACGTTTAAAAGGAAAATCTGTTAAACACGATCAATTCCTTTAATGTCACTTTAAACAACGATTCTTTCTGTTTATATAAACGTAAATATGTGATCATGTTTAAAAGGAAAGTGAAAGGAATTGCTCAGCCTTCCATTTTCCTTTTAATACTGATGAATCCTTTTCCTTGTCTCTTTAAGTTGTTTTTCTTTAGTTTTCATTGAAAACATGATTAAAACCTTTCATTTTCCTCTGAAACATGATTAATTCCTTTCATTTCCTTTAAGCATGAAGGGAAATGATCATATTTCAAAAGAAAAGCATTTTAAGCATGCTTAATTCGTTTCATTATCCCTTTAAACATGATTATTTGTTGATTCAAAATAGAAAGTGTTCATTTTAAATGGGAACGTGAAAGGAATGGCTTAGTTTAAAAAGGAAAATGAAAGGGCATCATCATTATTCAAAAGGAAATCGTTCTTATTAAAACGAAAACGTATGATTTAATCAATTTTAAGGTCAAAATCCTTGAGCAAAAGTGATCAATGCTTTGTATTTTCCCTTGACACGTGATTATTTACTTGTACTTTCGTTTCAAATGGTTTTAATGCATTCCTTTTATACTATGTTTAAACTGGTTAACTCATTTCGTGTTCCTTTCATCAACTATTATTTCCTGTTGCTTCCTTTTAAAGAAGGCTAAATCCAGTCATTTTTTAAACAAGGATGTCATATATGTTTTCCTTTAACAATGATTAAAAATTAAATCCTTTCATTTTCCTTTGCAAACTTATGAACAGAATTGATATTCTTAAAGGAAAATGAAAGGATTTTGATCATTGTTCAAAGGGAACATGCAAGGAACTATATCAATTTACTTTTAAATTACATTGAAGGGAATTGTTTATCCTTTGTTCCTTGTTTCCTTTTCATTTTCAATTCCTGGAGTACTGTTGTTATTTTGCATTTTGTCTTTATTCCCATGTCAAGCTCTATGTTTCTAATTTTGGGTCCTACTTTCTTGAAAAAGTATGCGCTTCAAAGTGCAATCTGTTCATACCTGAGTTCATTTCATTTAGGATTTGCAAAAAACAATAACATTTGTTTCAATTTTCTGCCGCCCGCAACCGACCCCTCTCTTGAAAAAGGCCTAGTGGTAGTAACGGTAATAGTAGCAGTAGCAGTAGCGGTGGCAAAAGCAGGAGGAGGAGGCGGAGTAGTGGTAGTGGTAGTAGTAGTCGTAGTAGTAGTAGTAGTAGTAGTAGTGGTAGTAGTAGTAGTAGTAGTATATAGTAGTGGTAGTAGTAGTAGTTGTTGTTGTTGTCGTAGTGGTAGTGGTAGTAGGAGTAGTGGGGGTAGTAGTGAAAACAGATAACAGAATCAGCAGCAGAAGCAGCAGTAGTACTAGTAGTAGTAGTGGTGGTGGTAGTAGTAGTCGTAGTCGTAGTAGTAGTAGTGGAAACCATAGTAATGGGGGTGGTGTTAGTGGTAGTAGTTGGTCGTGGTACTGTTGAGGGAAAGTCCTACACCACGGTTGTGGAGAATATGTATTAGACTTCGTGCTGCACACCGTCAAAAACTTTTAGCTCTAGAAGCCCCCGCAACAATCCACATTCCCAAATTGTTGGCAGGGCTACAAAAGCTTTCCGAACCGACAAAGAATGCCGCTTCGCACGCCTCACAGTCAACACTACAGTCAACACCTTCTCAATATGCTGGCAGAGGGCAACCAAACTTAGTCAAGACCTCTCAAGAAAGGTTTCAGGTTTGCCTGACAGTTAATTGAACGCCCAATGCGAATTAATGCCCCTGCCAGCATTCTGACTGTGCTGGTTGTCGTGTTGACTGAATCCTGACTGTCAGAATACGCCATTTGCGACGCTTCATCAAGTCGATTGAGGCGACCGCCTGGAGGCCTTTCTGTTCCACGCGAGGTCTTCATTCTACCTTCTCTGACTTGCAAAAGTCTATGTAACGTTGACAAGAAAACCGCTGCAGCATGTCGCGCCCATGCGCCCTCATCACGTTGCTATCGCAACTAGCCACAGTTCCTGGCATGCCGCAACAGGCCCGGGCGCTCCACCCTATAGACCGTTATTCTATCTATTGCGACGGTGCGCTCTTGCGCTCGCTGTTTAACGTTGCTCGGTCACCCGCTAAGTTCCCATTGACAAAATCCCTGCGCCGGCTGCGCGCGTAGTCCGACCACATTGAATAGGGGCGCGGGGGTGCTGGGCTGTCAGGCATGGATGAATTGCGTCAAAGTGGTAGGGGGAAGAAAACAAAGTTCTTAGCGCATCGGCTGGCAGCCTCTTGCACTTGTCATCTGCACACCGTCAAAAGCTTCTAGCTTGCGCAGCGCCCCATGCAAATGGCTGGCCCTGCCAACATGCTGATTGTAGCGTTGACTAAATGTTGACTGTAGCGTTGACTGTCAGAACATGCCACCAGGAAGCCTTTCTGTTCCACTCGGTGTCTTCATTCTACCTTTGACATACAAAAGTCTATGTAACACTGGCAAGAAAACAACGCGCCGCGACGAGCCCCCATGCCCCCTCATGTTGCCACCGCTACCAGCTGGTGTTCCTGAATGTTTCGCACCGGGCTGGTAGTAGTAGTAGTAGTAGTGGTAGTGGTAGTGGTAGTGGTCGTGGTGGTAGTAGTGGTAGTGGTAGTGGTAGTGGTAATAGTAGTAGTAGCAGTATTATTATTAGTAGTAGTAGTGGTGGTGGTGGTAGTAGTAGTAGTGGTAGTAGTAGTAGTCGTAGTAGTCGTATTATTAGTAGTAGTAGTCGTCGTCGTAGTCGTAGTCGTGGTAGTGGTAGTGGTAGTCGTAGTCGTAGTAGTAGTAGTAGTAGTAGTAGTAGCAGTAGTAGTAGTAGTCGTCGGGGTAGTGGGGGTAGTAGTAGTAGTCGTCGTAGTAGTAGTAGTAGCAGTAGTAGTAGTAGTAGTGGTAGTGGTAGTAGTAGTAGTAGTTGTTGTTGTAGTGCGGCAATAGTAGTAGTAGTAGTAGTGGTAGTAGTAGTAGTAGTAGTGGTAGTGGTAGTGGTAGTAGTAGTAGTAGTGGCGGTGGTGGTGGTAGTAGTAGTAGTAGTCGGGGTAGTAATCGTAGTAGTAGTAGTAGTAGTAGTAGTAGTAGTAGTAGGAGCAGTGGCAGTGGCAGTGGCAGTGGCAGTGGCAGTAGCAGTAGCAGTAGCAGCAGCTGCTGCTGCTGTAGTAGTAGTAGTAGTAATAGTAGTAGTAGTAGTGGTAGTGGTAGTAGTAGTAGTAGTAGAGTAGCTGTAGTGGTAGTGGTAGTAGTAGTGGTGGTAGTAGTAATAGTAGGAGTAGGGGTGGGTGTAAGAATAGGAGTGGCGGTAGCAGAAGCGGTGGTAGAGTGGTGTGGCAATGGCAGTCGTAGTCGCAGTAGCAGCAGTCGTAGTAGCAGGTTGCGCAAGGAGGCGTGCCTCATGTTTAGTCCCTATCAAGTTACGGAGGCGCTGATGCAGCAACATGGGAAACACACTGGCAGGGCAGCGTGAATTTGCAGTGGACGGTGCCCGCAAAGATCAAAGAAACCGCTTTTGTAGGCAATTTTTTGCCTAGACTCACCCCAAGCTATTTTCAAGACTCACCGCTGCGACTTCCTCTACTACTAAGATCATCCGCCTGTGCGGCGTTGTGATAGCAAGCGCGGCTACAAAAAAGCAAGCGCAGGTTGCCTTGCTTCAGCTGCTCCGAACACCCTGACAATTGGCGCAACTGCACTCAACGACGCTTCTGGCTCTTTGACAAGTGGTGACAAATGGTTGGGGCTGCTGCCTACGCAACCACATGACACCAGCGCAGGACAGTAGTGATAGTTATAGACAGATCAACGGAAAAAGACGCCTCCAAGCATATAGTGTGCACAGTTGCAGTAACGGAAGCAGGGGCGGAAGAACAATATGAAAAAAAGGAACACGGAGACTAAATGTAGTAGGGTATACGAAGAAAAGCAATCGCCGTCTTAGTAAAGTTAGTAGCCGCTTCTTCCTCCTCTAAGTTTCCCCCCTTCGCTTTTTGGCGCCGTCTCAATGGTTTTTGCAATGCGCTGGCGGACCTGCTGCTGAAACATCAAGCAATGACAGTTTTTGGTTACAACAACATGAAGGCATTCAAGAAACTAGTGGCCAACCATTTTGCGGCCTCTGATGCCTGCTTCAAAGCGCTGCAATAATGATGCCACAGGCATACTTGCTGTTGTTTAGGGAGATTGAAGCAGGGTGGATTTGCAAAATCGAAACTGGCGAGTCCTGAGCAGTCTCCTGTTTCTCGGTCTCGGCAGACAGAAAGGAATGTTCCAACAGGAACACGGTGCCTGGCGCCGACTGTGTTTCACGCGCAACAACATTAACACACCTGAGCTGTGTTTCATGCGCCACTCCTAGAAGAAGAGGCAGCTTCGAGTGCAGCGGAAAGATCCAACTGAGCCGCTGTGACGCAGCACTGCGCCGCGGCGAAACTGAAACCGACCAGTAGCAACTAAGGAGTATCTGGTGTCCCACCTGTGTCGGCGCTTTTTTAGAAACCATCAAAGCATAACAGTTTAGCAAAATGATCTGTTGTCTTTCCAATCCTTTAAACTGGTTCTAGTTGCGGTTGTTGTTGTCGCCAACGCCGTCGTCTCGGAAGAAGAAGAAGAAGAAGAAGAAGAAGTGTTGGTTGCCGCCACCCGAGCGCTGGAGTGGAGCAGATCCCGGCGCACTTCCCACTGCTAAGCGGGATACCTTTGTTGCAGAATCTTCTTTCTGAGATTCTGCGAGCCGCTATTTCCAAAGCTCGGTCCAGGTCAGCTTCGTCAGAAGGCCAGCCCAAACGTTGGAAAAGTGTAGAGCCTTTTAAGCTGCTGCTGCAGGCCCGTACAGCTGAACCACTTGTGCGCACGATCAGGTCGAGGATCATCGCAGAAGGCGCAGGCAGAAACTGCAACGTGTTGGTTTTGCTGCAGGCGGGCCTGGCTTCGCCAGCGATTGGTGTACGGTACACCAATTGCCGCAAGATGAGGATTTGGCCTGGGCCCACGAAAGGTGCCGGGGATCAAGAGCAGCTCGGGAAGCACCGCCCAAGAATTCCCGCCATTGCTTGGCGCGCCAGGCTTTCCTGACTCCAAGTCTTGGAGTAGAGGCCTGGCCTCAAAGGATCTGAAATGCCCTCGCGCGTCCAGCTCCGAGGCTCGCCGTCGGTTTCGGTCCAACCACGGCGCTGGACCCAAGTTCGCATCAAGGTGATGGGACCTTGGTTAGTAACATCGGTTCATCTGAGCAGCAGCATGTCGTGTGAGTATGTAACTTACCTGATCGGCACCGATCGCATAGCCTGGATCGGCTGCGTGTCGGGCGGAGAGGCGAGGAAGAGGACCTATGGGGTCCCTTTGCAAGCCTTGACGATGGCCGTTCTGAGATCACTGACGAACTTAGCAATCGGCAGGCGGCTTTCGGCAGTTGTTGGGACGTGTATCGTGGCTTCACTAAACTCAAGGCCTTGCTGGTTGGAGATCTCCTCAGCTGAGAGAGAGGGTGGCAGCGTTGCGTCGCATATCGAGATGCGCGCCCAGCATTTGGGTCCACGGTTTGACCTGGAAGGTTTGGAGCATGAAGAACAGCGAGGAGTTGCTTTTCGTGATTTGCGGATATTATGTCTTCAGAAAGGTGCGAGGCAGCCATTTCGCGCGTTCAACTTTGAGCCACCGTTGCAGCCTCCGAGTGACCAAGTTCTGTCGTCCAAGAAAGCAGAGTATTCGGCGCGCGGTGTGACGCGCTTCACGCGACACAGCGCCTTCGGACATGGGCGCGACTAAGCCAATGACGCTGGCTGCATCCCCTTGCGGAAGAGCTTCACAGGGCATGGCATCAGTGCTGCACTGGTGGCACGCGTGAATCCACCGTTCTTGGTGTTTCCAAGCTGATTGCAAAGCGCGACCAAAAGCGTCACGCACGCGCGTACGCGAAAGAGCTTGGGTGGAGAAAGAGCGGCGCAATCGGCCATAGGCCTTGCTAAGGTTGGCCGCCCCGAAAAACTTGAAATGGGTTCTTGGCTGAGCCTTTCCTTTCTATAGCAAACCGAGCGGTTTGAGTAGTGCAGTGAAGTGTGGACTCCCCGTTTAGCGACGCCAGCATGTGCTCCGGTGGGATCTGCTGAGATATGAAGGCGCGCAAATGAGCCACTCTAAGACCAGTGTAGATTCTTTACCAGATGCTGCCAACTCTAATTGGTCTTAGACTGTCAAGACCTGTTTGTCGCAGTAGCCAATTACTGGTTGAAGCGTTTCGGCTGGGATGCACTTGATTTCAGAGCCGGCCCATTGGTCGGGGCCGGCCGCTTTTCGCCGCAGTTTGGCGGCTTGAGGGTGGATCGTACGGATTCAGGGATGGAAACCATGGTTGGGCCTCAGCCGGCCAAGGATGCACGAAAGCTTGGTCATGCAAGGCTCTGTGCTCAACTTCGGCGGGCGCCTATGGCCAAATGTCTTGCCAGAACGAAGTCAGATCTGTCAACAACGCGTCGCGAGACAGCATCTGACCATCAACCATCGTGGCCGCAGCATTAGCATCAACCATCGTGGCCGCAGCATTAGAGGCTGGCTTATCTCGCTTCAACCGTCACCACATTTTGCGTGATCGCTCTTTCATTTTTCTGTGCCGCGCCTGGATCTTGGCGTCTGGGTCAAGAATTCTCAGGGTGAGCGAGTTTGGATTCGATCCAATGCAAGCCAGCTTGCTTGCCATTCTGGATTCTGCTTGGCGGTCCTTTTCCAAGCCGCGAGTTTGTTGGGAATATCGATTTCTGGCGTAATGGAAGTTCCAAAGTTCAAGAACACGCCCCCGCATTCTGCACAGACGAGCTTCTCGGACACGACAAGTGGTGGTCGCGCTAGCGCGATGGTGTCTAGGGAAAGTGCTGAGGGCTGTGGGCTTGAAAGCAAATTTGTTTTCAGCCCCAGCGTCACCGGCCTCACGCAGAACTGAAAGTGTCACTGAGTATCGTCCAAGATTCTTGGCGCCCTGTTTTGGTATCCACTGGCGCCGCAGTCCAGTGGCGCTGGAGCGTGGTCATCCATTGGGCGTCGCTCAGGTCAGATCGCCTGTGGGAAAATCAACCAAGCCAAGGCCACATCGATTCATGACCGCCCAATCGATGCGTCGATCCCCTACACAGCCGGTTGGCAGGGGATGGAAGTCTCAGGATTGGATGGGAAGCTATAACATTGGCACACAGGCTGGCGCCATAGTAGTGAGTTGAATCCTGGTAGGGTTCGCTGTTCCAATCACCAGAAACGAACCGCTTGGCGCTGTCCAAGCTGGCAAGTTTCTGGAACAAGGAGTTGTTGAAGTCATCGATCTATCGATCTGGGTCTCGGATGAAGGTAAGCCCCGCTTCTCTGGCTGGTCCAGAAGCGAAGTTGCAATCCGCCCATCTGGCTGCACATATAGTTGACGGCAAGGTCTGCTCGGATCCAAATTCCTTCTCCTCTCCCCTCCCACCCTGGGATACTTTCCTACAATCACAATAGCCCTGAAACGGCTTTCTCCCACGTAAAGCGGTTGCCCCCCTCGATTGCGCGAGTACCCATCCTGACAGGGGCTGGCAAAAGGCGACGAGATGACTGCTTCGGGGAATCACGTCGCGACAGGTTACCGGCGCGGACAGAAGAAGGGAGATGAGCGGCGAGAGGATCAACCTTATAATACTTGAAAGCTGCCTGGCGCAAAGCCAGTTCCGCCAAACCTCGAGACCCGAGAGACAATCCGCAGGGCGCATGTTGGTTGCCGCCATCGTGGCGGTGGCTACGAATCGCTCCACGCGCGAAGCCGCGCAGTTCATATAGCGCGGCGTAGGGGCGCGAAGTTTGAGAGGGCGCTCCAAGGATGGCTTCCAGGCAACCCACAGCTACAATTCTGAACGCTATTTAGTGTATATGCGTGTTTGTATGAACAAATGTTTTGTTATATGTATATATATAAATATGTATGAAATATGCACTCTTTGGGTTGAGACAGGAGCAAATCAATTGAGGCTCTGGCAGCGGCACAGCAACGATGGGCCCATCTATCAGGCACCATTCCAGGATGCCAGTGACGAAAGCACCCAGCAAATAGAAGGCCCATCCCAAAACTCCGCGGAAACCAAGGAGGCCTGGCAACATCTGGTAACACCGTAGTTGTTCGTTGGCTGCTTTACTTTGAACGGGCAAGCCTGTAGTCCAAACCCGTGAATTCAGTAGGGCTTCCATGCCTTAGCAGCTTGTCGCTTGCTTGTGCCGCAGACTACCTCGTTAGGCGTGTCTTGCCTCTTGCCACCCCACCTCTGGTCAGCAACGCAGCCTCCAAGCACAGCGGCACTCTGTTTATGTCCAGCATGCGATGTCCTCGGGTCGGCAGCGAGCAAAGAATGCAACAACACCAGCTAATATTCGGCGTGACTAGCCCATGAAGATCAAAGTTGCAGCGCAACGGTTAGGATTTCGCCCTCGTGTCCACCAGCAGGCCGACGCACGTATGCCCCGCCCACGTACAGAAAGCCCGGCCTCGCTGCCAATTCATTGCCGATGCGCTGCGATGACGCTGGAAGCAGACAGCAAGCAGCAAAATCATCGAGGCGTTCTGGAAGCGGCGCGGCCAAGCAATCAGAACCTGGGAATGACTGGAAGGAGCAACGCAACATTCAGCTGTGGACAGACACTACCCACCGTAGACTGGTTTGTACGCGCGTACCCCGAAATGTCTCAAAACTTTGACCGATTATTACCGAGGCCGTCTTTGCGCCAGGGAAAGTTCTGTTAGCTCCGCTGCAAGCGATGAGCCCAAGGAGGCTTTGAAGACCACCTGACAGGTGGTTGGCTGGAACTTGTCGAAAGTCAGGCGATGAATGAAAGAGATTCCGATTAAGACGGACAGGGTCACAGCGTAGGATGGGGGCGAACCCTTCCTTGATGGGCAGGAGGGCTTTGCCAGGACTACGTCAAGTTCAAGGGGAATCTCAACAGATCGTCGACCTGCGCAAAAACGGCTTCAGGGGACGGGTGGCTGACGAGGGAAATCTTTCCAGAGGCCAGAAGAAGGCTCAGGCGTCAAAAGGAAGTGCAAAATCTTGGAAGAGTGTCAAGAAGATGGCCAAGGTTCGCGTTCAAATGTTTAGTTTGACGTCCAGGACTTGCTTGGGCGTCAACGTTCTGCGGAGCGTGGGCAACTAACTCCGCAGTCGAACATGCGGCGCAACAAAACGAAAACAGCTCGGGCAGAAGGAGGCGCGGCAGTCCCTCTGGGCGACGCGGGGCGCGAAAGGTTGGCGGCAGGGCGGAGAGGCTTTGCGCGCAAGCTTTATGAAACCAACCGTTGACGACAAGAGCGGGGTTGGGATTGGATGCGCGGGGCCCAAAACTCGGTAGAGGCTTCAGAGGAGCAGCAAGAGCAGCAGCAAACCACAAGTAGCCTAGCAGCGCCAGAGCACCAGCAGGGCAACAGGCCAGCCAGAACATTTTAACACCAAACAAAAAACACCTTATTCTTTCCAATGTGCTGTACTAAGGCTTTGTGGCGCATCTTACGATCTGTCATGGCGCAATGTATATGTCGCATGCGCAGTCATGGGCAGACGTTATCGATGTGCGTGCACGCATGCATGCGCAAGAGGGGTCGAGAGAGAGAGAACAGCGAGAATAATACAGCTGTACAGTTTATCAAGCACACGAGTATAAGCAAACGAGTTGTTGCCAAACATGCTAGGCAGCAATCCACGGTTTTGGCATTGCTTTGCCGACGAGGATGCAATGTCATGGGCCAAAAGCATTTTGGCCTGGCTGATTGATATATGCCATCGTCAATGTACTTGTGCATGTGCATTTATGGGGGTTGATTGCGTTTTGTTTCACCATCTCAGGCACCTATCTCAAAGCACATCCAACACGTCGTTCGATGTGGGTGACAAAGTGTGGTCGTTTACGGCAGCTGGAATGCACTTACTAATTTTTAAGAAATGTGCATGTGCACAACAGAACGCGCGCACCTGCTGTAGAGTTCTGACAGTGCAACACTGATCTATCGATCAAATCGAAACCCGATGCCTTCTCAGGATCTGGGCGACGAAGCTGAAAGTTAGGAGGATGCTTTGCGTGCTCCCTGAATTCTATAACGATGGTGGAAACGCCTACAAATATATTCCTATAGCCTCCGGCCTTTAGCTGTTCGAGAACAGCGCGAAAACAATTGGACAAGGGATGGCCCCAGATGTTAGTTGCTCTTCTTACGATGAAACAAATGAGTTGGCCGGCGGTGGGCGGTGGGCCAATTTGTGGAACAGCCAGTTGGCCGCAACTCCGAAGGATAGCTCATGACTGGGGACTGGGTCACCGAGGCGCTTGCAAGGGAAAGACTGCAGAGTCATCCAACGCGCGCACTTTCTGACCAATGCGTGGAGGTGAGCAAAGTCATAGGAGGCACCTCATCTTCGCGCGCGTCTCTAGCTCAGATTCACGCGCGCGAGACCCTGTGGCCGAATATTCGCGCGCGTCTCTAACTCGTATTTGCGCACGCGCGCCTGTCATATATTTGCCTTTCAAATCCCACTTCCAGCGTCAAAACTAATCACCCGGCCGCTTCATCCTGGCCGTTCAACGATCCTGCTGTTGCTCTTGCGAGAGTGTTCTTCATTTTGTCGCGGTTATTTTTGTTTTTGGAGATTGTCGCAGCTGATGTGAGTCGACTTGCCCTATGGGCTTTTCTTATGTCACCCACATGAAAAGTTGTAGAACGCATGCAATCCGGGCGGCGTCGAAATTTAGTTCCCTTTTTGGCTTTGCGCCCTCGCACTTTTTGTTTCAGCTCAGAATAGGCAGCCGCTGGTCGACAATTTCACAAGTTGGCTTGCGTCCTGAGTTTCTATATAAGTGCTGGATTTTGCCAGTTTTTGGTAAAGCTGGACAGACTCATGCAAGTCCCATGAGATACTGAATCTTATACTGTGTACTTAGGGATTAGACAACGCCCAAAGAAAAGAGCTTTATCGCGCAAAGATTCTTCACGGAGCGTTAGAAGCGCTCTGAATGCTTGGGTTCAAGTTGTCGGCGCACATCGAATGAAAAGTGTGGCTGCCGCGCTGGCCTGCGGCAACCTCCATGTCTGCGCGCGCGCGCGCCTCCAACAATGAATAGCACAGGAACTCGTGGCAAAGGGGCCAAATAGCAGCCTTGGCTTCAGCGCCGACAAACAAACGAACAAACAAGCAAGCAAAATAGACGACGGATAGCCCGAGGGCGTTTAGGTGTAGAGTTACTCTGGCATAAGGTGCGCTTGCGCGATGAAACTGCAAAACAAAGAGAGGTGGGAGGGTGAAAAGAGAAAGTGAAAGAGAGTTGCAGAAAAGGTCGGGCGACGAAAAGATTAGACGCACAGTTTTACAACAAAAATTGCGTGGGTTCAGGTCCCGCCTTCCCGCCCCGAAGAAATTTTCCGGTCGATGTTTATGCAGGCTTATGTCAACAGTTAAGGTAATTTGTACTTATTCAGGTCCTGCCCCGGAGAAATCTTACAGTCGGTGTTGGTGTCCATATTTAAATCTAAAATGTGTGGATTCAGGTCCTGCCCCGAAAACAAGTCTTAAAGTCGATGTTTGCGCGGGTTTACGTCCAACATGTTTCCCGTTTTTAGCGGCGCGGTCTGATGCAAACACGCTCCCGGCTGTGTAAATTTGCATGGCGCAGCGAAAGCCGTGTAAAAGCAAGCCTCGTGAGCACCGCTGCATCATTCCGCTCCCCAGCGACACGCCGCATTGACATGCATATACACCAGCATGTTTTCCTTCCACTTCCCCAAAAGGCAAACACACTTTCCGCCGAGGCCGTCCAAAACTTTCACCACGCATCCTCACACAGACTAGATACAACAATGTAACACCAAGCCTCATAACCCCGCCAATCTTCCGCTCCCCAGCGACACGCCGAGTTTACGCCAGCGGTAGAGACTCGCGCAAATGTCTTTCCGCTGAGGCGGCGCGAAGCCAGAGACATCACAGACGTAATTTGGCCACACGGTGTGCGACGCGACAAACCATAAGCCACAACAATTTAATATGCAGCCTCGTGGACACCGCCAATCATCCCGCTTAGGCACGCATACAACAATGTAACACCAACCGTCCCGCTCCCCACACCGAAGTTATACAAGCGCGCTTTCCTTTCCCTCAGCGGCACGGACTCAGGCAAACGCATTTTCCGCCGAGCGCGCAAAACCGCATGGCACAGCGAAATCACAGACGTAATTTGACCTTCGCAGTGAGGGTTGCCGCGGACACCTTGAAACCGCAACGTTTCCCCCGCTTTTGACACTTGACGCGCATTTCGCGCGAATGGGTTTGTTGCGGACAAATGGAAAACGCAATACTCCCTCAGTTTTGGACACTTGACACGCGTTTC